TGTATTTTACAATTTCTGTACATTCTCCAGTGCTTGTGTATTCTTTTGTTTTTTTGTTATGTATAGTCATATGGGCCTGTGGCCTAAAAGACAATAAACACATTATTATATACATTATTATATACATATGATAAAATAAAAAATGTATTTATAAAGCACTGAATTAACTCAATTAATAATGATAACAGACAAAACACTAATACAAAAAACAAACTTCATTTTGGAAAACTACTTAAATAAGCTAACTAAATTCAGACTGAGCAATCACAGTTTTATAAATTGAAAAAGGAAGACACAACAGAATCAAAAGGGGCGACAGAATCTGCAAATTGTGTCACGTTAATAAAAATGATATTGAAGATGAACATAACTTCATTATAATATACCCAGTATATAGTATAGAGAGGGTCATTTTATACAATGAAGCTGAAAAGATTATTCCTGACTTTACTAATCTCAGACCTGAAAATACATTCATAAAAATAATGTCAAATAATAACTTAACAATTCCTCTGGCACAATATCTAAAATACAGCTTTGTTATTAGACAGCAGCACCTACTTAGTCATTGATTTTTTTATATTCTATTATGTGTTCATTGGATTTTTGTTTTTATATTCAGTTTATAGTTTTTTTGTTGGTGTTTCCTTTTTTTTTCATTATAAATTTCCGTTACTAACTTCAATTTAGTCTGTTTTGGTTGTTTTTTAAACTATCAGCCATTGTAATTTGATTAATTTTTATTTGTAATTTTCTTTTGTAACCTTTAACCTCCTTCAGTAGGTTGTTATGAGTTAATAAATACTTAGAAATTGTTTGTAGACTATGACACGCTATGGCCATCTGACGCATGCGCAGGTGATGACTCCCCCGCTTTAATATGGTGGTCGTCGCACCGCGTCCTGTTCGTCGATATGGGACTCATACCGATGTTTACACAAAATTTAAACACGCGCCGCGCGACCCCACCGCCCTTTAATATTGTTTAAGGCAATAATTTTGTTTTCATTCTGTGCGTGGATAGGATAGATATTTTATTTAGAACGTGTACAAAACAAGCGAAGTATAACAAACATAAATATCAAAACTACGCAGCTAAAATAATTTTAGAACAAGAAAAACAAAATTCGTCAATATGCTGGAAATATAACTGTCGTTACTAGAAAGCACAACAGTAAACAACTTTTCATCGGAAAGTTTGCAGTCAATTTTCGTTCTTATCACATTTCAAAGAAACATTGATAGTATGTGACACTGGCAGACCTTATTAGTTTTACATTCAAGTTAAAATGTTTATAATAACTACATGCGTTGCATAATAATTAGTCGGTTTTCAGCTTTTTCCATCAATATCTCAAGTATTTTTTTTCAGTGAATCTTGGTTTATAAATTCTAGTACACTAAGATAATGCAAATAATTAGTTTTGGGTTTGTATACATCCATAAAAATTACTTAATTTGCATAATAATAATCGCTTTCCATCGATTTTTAAAGAATTAATCATCACATTATAATGAAACGTGGTACATATGTGCAGGCTCTGGAACAATACACAGATCTAATTAGTTTTGGGTTGAAATATACGCATAATAATTGTTTAATTTGCATAATAATATAATTACCCATTTTTTTTTTAAAAACAATTTTTGCTTTTCAATAAGATTTAGTGTATAAGTGCCTACTAATTGCATAATCACCATATTTCAATTAAATTTGGTTCATAGATGCTCTGGGGTAATCCACAGACGTGATTAGTTAAATAATGAAAAACTTGCATAATGATTGTCTAATTATCATTAGTAAATTTCTGGTATCTCAAAAGATTAGATTTTAAATTGAACTTTATGTGGTAGAGGTGCTCTGGAATAAATTAGACTGAAAACACAGATTATAAGTATTATAAACTTCAATAGATAACATTGTCTTCACATTGTACATCTCAAATAGCAGATCTAGACAGTAATTAGTTACCAAGCTTCTTGTTTGGAAGGCTAATTAAATTTTCACATGTCTCCAATACTTTAAGCACATGGGAGTTCCTTCCTTGATTTTTAAATGTATTTCTTACTTGCCTGAGCGAAAAATGTGGCTATTACATTATCTGTAATAAATGCGTTTAGAACAGAATACAGGTGTACAGGGAACGTGGGTGTGGGTGGATGAAATCAACAGATTTAGTAGACGATGATTGCATACCATATTAGTAGAATAATATAAGAATAAATGACAAAAACACGATCTTTCAAAGTATTGTCATACGCCATGTCATTGACTACATGCCATAGAATATACGGTGTAGAAACACACGTGAATAAACTCCGGAACTTCTTTGATCGAAACTTTCGGGTCGTCAAATGGTGGTCTAGATTTGCGTACAGTTAATTTGTCAATAAAATAAAATATTATGTGAGTGGATAAATGGCGAAAGTCGGGTTACCGCGAAACAATTGTTTGCAAGACTTACTAGTATATGGTGACCGAAACCTCCTACATTCACATGCACACAACGCTTGAATTAATTCGATATATTGTAAAATATGCGACTGTCATCTTTCCAGATTTATACTAGTATTAATATCTTGTGACCCTCGAATTGAAAAACAATGTATCGCCATAGGCACGGCTAAAACGATGCAGTGTGAAGTACTAGTATATATTAATGTATACAAAACAAGCAACGCATGAATTCAAACGATATTGTAAAAAAATGAAATTCGGTAGATGTTTTGTTCGTGACGCTTTGTCCCACACTCATAAACTCGATGCACCTTAAGGGGCATTGAATTCAAAAGTCTAAATGTTTGTTTTGTTGTAATAAATATAATAGCGAGGTATTGGTGTTTTAGAAAACCTGTGCATCGTTTTCAACATTTGGAACTTAAAACATTGTATAGTAAAACAGAAGACTCATTCAACATATCTAGAGTAAATATTTTGACTAGTCACGTTTTGTACATTTGGGGTTAACATCGGCAACTAAATTGCTGTATTTGTTCGTAGAAAATTGAAAAAGTAGGCTGGTATTTTAGGCTTTTTGTTTTTAAAATATGGCTTTCTTCCTTGAAAAAAGTATTTACTAGTATTTATTTTCCACAGCCTGGCAATAGTCTTCCATGGTAGTCTCGCTGCGAGACCACTTCATTAGAAAGTAGCTGCAATAAATAAAGCGCCGCCATCGTTGAGGGTGTATTTACTACGTGCTTGTAGTGCGAGGGCGCTGTATTTCATTTTCCGGTTACTGCGATCACATAGAGGTCAGCACATATTGAAGAACAGCGTTAGTATTTTGCGGTTTTGAGGGTGAAACAAAAGGTAACGATATTCAGTGACATATTTATACACCTTGGGCGAGTATTGGGTGCCATTCTGGCGCAAACGATACTGAAACGGCACTATTCACTTGGTATCGAAGATCGACCGAAGTTGCTTTCACCACGGTGACAACTAAACCGTGCTTTCACCATGTGCATCACGGGTCGAACACGAAGATTAATAGTGACAGAGGTCAAATTAAAGACCATCGCGAAGTACCGTGGGCTGAATTATGAAGGTGTTACCCAGTGTGTTAACTGACTGTTTGTTAAAGTGTTATTATCAATGTATTATTTTGTCAAAACAAAAATGGGACTCACTGATACATTTCCGGTTCTATATTAGATACCTGGCGAAGTCGATGATTTCAGAAAGCACCATGAATTAATGTACCATGCTTGAGTGTTATTTGCATACTGACCTCTGCAGACTATCTATCCTTGTATACACCCGCGGTTTGCTGCATGCAGGGGCGGATCAATACTTGCCACCAGTGTTGTCTTGACGAAACATCTCTCTAAACAAAATGTCCCAAGTGACAAGTAGGACAAACTGTTCTCATCCAGATTAGTCTTACTCTGACAGAATTGTTTTGTTACAACTTTCTCTAAGGTTTATGTTTGCATTGCATATTTCTAATATTGATAAATAACTTGTACATTGCAAGTAGGCATATTTCTAATATTGACAAATAACTTGTACGTTGCAAGTAGGCATATTTCTATATTGACTAATAACTTGACATTGCAAGTAGGCATATTTCTAATATTGACTAATAACTTGTATGTTTCAAGTAGGCATATTTCTAATATTGACTAATAACTTGTACGTTAAGTAGGCATATTTAAGTTTATTAACTAATGAGTAATAAAAATCAAGTATGGATTAATTATTAGTAGTAAATATATATAATTAAACCATACTTGCAACATACAAATTAAAACTCAATACATAAAAATATGTAAATAAATAAAAAAGGCAGTGTTTGCAACATGCAAATTATTAGTAAATAAAAATATATAATGGAAAGTACTTAATTGACAAGCTGGTAGGCTGGTTTGTTATCCACACTGCTAAAAAAACAAACAACATGTTTTCGGCTGTTGCAATTGTAGCACATACATTGTATAACTAAAACTGGGCCTCATATACAAAGTTCGCAAACGGCATTTAGTCTTCAGAAGTTTTTTCACTTTATTTCTAGCACGTATTTTGCTGTTATAATTTTTATTTCCAACCATTTTGCGATTTTATTTTCTAGATTGTTTGATTGAACGCAGCATTTACAGTTCATTCAAAGTTCAAAGTTGCACTGGGACTTGCGTTGGTACAGTGTAATAATGTCGGTTCTGGTAATCTGTCGTAGATAAGCTAGTTAATAGCCAAAATAAAAAGTATGACCATTTGAACACTTAGCTCAAATTTCTTGTTGATGAGAAAATATATCAAAAATACAAATAGTAACTTTGTTTTTCATCCTCGATTTGTTGGAGGAGATGCATTTGATGCAAAGCTATTCAAAAATATTTTTTTGGGCTGTTGCCATGGCAATGGTGGGTCAGGACAAACAAATAAACTTGCTGGAGTGTAACCTTTGAACTTAATATTATAATTTATGAAATGAATGTAGTAAATTTCTTTCATTTACTTTTCAGATATTAAAATGCTTTTCTAAGGCACTGGTTACTAATAATATTAAAATGTGGAAAAACTGCAGCAAGCGAATTTTTAGGACTTCAGCACTTTATCGGAGTGCGAGAAAGTTTAGTAACCAGGTAGAAAGGCCCTTGGTTATTGGATTACGCAGAGAAGGTGGGTCACAATGGGAAAGAAGAGCACCGATTGGTCCATCTCATGTACAAGAACTTGTAGAGAACCAAGGAATTAAAGTCTTGGTACAACCAGCAAACAGAAGAGCCTATACAATGCAGGTTAGACTTTCTTACACAACACTGGGTGGGGTGGGGGGTCTATGACATTTTGTTAAAAAACTATTTGGTCTAATATTAATTTCACTGAAAGTTAAAATTATCATTCTTTATAAGTGTCCAACTATCAAATTGATAAAACCGTTGCTCACAATTGCCTCCTGATGTGAAGGAAATTTGGAGATATAAAGTCAGAATGACAGCTTTTTAGCAGATTGTTGATTGTATCTCTTTCACTGCTAATAACATCGAAAATGTGTTTGTCTGGTGCTCTTAAATGTCTGTGTATGGGATACAGTAATAGTACAAATGCATTTTTTAATAATTGCCTCAGTGAATATAATTTAATATAAAAATATAAGACAAATATATAGATGAACCATACCAGTATACATAAAATGTGTGTATTTTCTATTTTTAGTTAAACTCTAGTTACCTTGCCCTTTGGCAGTGTACATTCACCATGTGAACATGCATGTGCAGACTTTTGTCTATTATTCATAAATTTTATGATTCATACAGAATCTATCAGTAGGCAATGTGTTAGGCTAAATGCACTTATGAAGGTTTGTATACCCAAGGTAATATTTATTTTTCAAAACCAGCACCCCCCCAAAGTTAGTCTGGCAAATTTCCCGCCAGGATGAAGCTACTATATGTTCTCTTGGAGTAAATGATTCTGGGTACCAAGACGGTTAATTCCATTGAATTGTCTCTCTCTCTCTCACTTGTTTTTCTGTTACTTTTGTATTTAATAAGTAGTGCAAATGAATCTTCCAATTTAGTTTGTATTGATAGTTAATCAATGTATGTTTAAAAAATTAACATGAATCTCTCAGTCTGTCTGTTTTGGTAAATTTATTACAAAAATTGTTCATTTTCTTATTATTCAGAGTTCTCATAGTTATTAGTCATTGAGTGATTTTTCCTAGTTTTGTTCACTTCTTGACTTTTTGTTTGCCCCTGATAAAATAGAGGAGAAATTGTCAGTAACACAGTATGTCATACTTTCAAATGTAATGTACTATGGTCATGAAAACAGCCAATCAGTGATGACTCAGTACTTTGTGTATAATATGTAGTTAAATAGGGTTTCACCAGGCCGTTCTTGAGTATACTTGCAATGGCAGGATTCCAGGCTATTATGGCTATAGGCTATCCATGCTGGTTTTCAAAGATGATGTGTTAAAGTTTTTTTATCAGATTATTGTAAAAACTCCACCACCAGAGGGGAGGAGGGGGGATCATCTCGTTGAAGAAATGTGCCAAACCAACTTTTTCTGGTCAATTTTGAGATGCTGATGCCAAAAGAGCATGTTATACACAAGTTCAGGTTCAAATTTAATCTAAATGCTTGTTTTTGTCAAATTATTGTGAAAAAACCCATTAAGGGTTGAGGTTTATACGAGAGGGAAATTTTCCAAGCAAACACATTATGGTCAGTTTTAAGACAGTGATTTCAAAATTGCTAATTTTGTAAAAATCTAAACTAAATATTTGACTAGGACTAAATTCTGTCAGGTATAGATAAGGCATACGTTTTAGTGGCCCAGGTAATAACAACAACAAAGTGCTTTAGACAGGTAGAATTTATAGACAATATAATAATATAATATAGCCCTCCTACCGGAATCTATGTTCAAATTAAGACACGATGATCATTGTTTGCCAAATAGTAATGATAGTTTTCAAGTGAAGAGGTTACAGAGGTTACAGGTGTACACCTCCGTTATTTACAACTATACAGGTTTACTGTGTCTGTTTAATCCTTATCAAAGGCATTTAAACAAACCAAGTTTATGATGTCATAAATGTGGTGTCATGTCATGTGATGTGGTGTAACACATTGAATGACGTTTCTGATACAGAAAATTTACACTGACATAGTTCATGTTTGTATCTTTCTTTTCTCTTTTGAGACAAGATGATTCTGTTATATTTGCTTTTTATAATTATAGACCAGGAGCTTAGGTGTCATCCGGTGCAGAAATTTGTCAGACCAACTTTTTTTTTAATTTTATCCTTATCGTTGGGAGTGAGAATCATTGTAAAATTCAACCTGTGGTGATAAATCCATGTAATGCTCATTATATCGTAGTGAATTTCAGTCCACTGACAATGTTCTACACATGTATTTGTATGATAAAACAAAACAATGTAATTTTGCCAAAATATGTGATAGAACATCATGTTGATACACAAAGTGGTGATTCCTTTTCACATGTACCGAACTGGACCGCGTCCTCAACTCAGGAGATCATGATTTTTTAGGGGTGCACCCCCTCGGAAAAGAGTGCAAATGACAATTTTAATTCACCATGTGACAGATTGAGGTGGATATTACGTCTTCAAGGGAAAATAAAATTATGAAATTATTTGCGTCATTATTGACTTTTACAATTAAGAAACAGGAATGGTCACAACAATATGCACATTTTATTACAACATTAATTATGTACATTGTACATGTACCACTCAAATTTACAAGGTTAAAAATATTAGAGTCTGTAGGAACACAGTTGAAGTCAAAATCTTCATCATTATCTCTACTGACGATGTGTTGGATCGTATGCAAACTCTCGATGAAAAGCACTTTCTGCCATAATGTATTTGCATGATTTGACATGCAACAATTCCCTTTGACCTCATGGGTCAAGTTGTACCAACACAATTCTTCGGACATTTCCGTAGACTTTCTAGTAACGTAATGTGGAAGTGAATTATTAATGTTGAAGTACGATCTGTTAGAATTGATTTTAGTGAATAAATGGCATGTGTTTATCAAAAAACTACATGGTAACTGCATGAAATATTTACCACATTTTACTTTTACAGGTCATTGTCGAAGCGTAGTTTACGTACGGTTACCATGGACTATGCATTCACAACATATTCACAGCGGTGGATATCAATGCTGTATCATATAAAAACGATTACCAGTTAATTTTGTTAAGCAATGATCAAAGACCATGTTTTAAATTAGTAGCATTTTGAATGGGTTGGCACATTGCAGAATGTGACCCCCAATATAAAGACTGCCCAAAATTGCGGGATGGGCGCTTGACCGGGCATGGGCACTAATATGGTCCAATATGGTAATAAAGTGGTAAAACAGGTTAATTAAATTGGGTGTTGATTGTATTTACTAGGACTATGAAAATGCAGGAGCTATTGTGCAAGAAGACCTGTCAGAAGCCTCTCTCATCATGGGAGTGAAGCAAGTACCCATTGATAAGCTTCTGCCAAATAAAAACTATGCTTTCTTTTCGCATACAATCAAAGCCCAAAAAGAGAACATGCCATTACTGGATGCAATGTTGGAAAAGGTATGTGTTGTACTGTCCCATATATACCGTGTACAGTGTTTAAATATACTGAGTATATTCAGTGGTGTTTAAAAATACTGGTATATACTGAGGTATATTCAGTAGTGTTTAAAATTATACTGTATATACTAAGTATATTCAGTAGTGTTTAATTATACTGGTATATACTAGTATATTCAGTAGTGTTTAAAAATACTGTATATACTAAGTATATTCAGTAGTGTTTAAAAATACTGTATATACTAAGTATATTCAGTAGTGTTTAATTATACTGGTATATACTAAGTATATTCAGTAGTGTTTAAAAATTATACTAGTATATACTAAGTATATTCAGTAGTGTTTAAAATTATACTGGTATATACTAAGTATATTCAGTAGTGTTTAATTATACTAGTATATACTAAGTATATTCAGTAGTGTTTAATTATACTGGTATATACTAAGTATATTCAGTAGTGTTTAAATATACTGGTATATACTAAGTATATTCAGTAGTGTTTAAAAATACTGGTATATACTAAGTATATTCAGTAGTGTTTAATTATACTGGTATATACTAAGTATATTCAGTAGTGTTTAATTATACTGGTATATACTAAGTATATTCAGTAGTGTTTAAATATACTGGTATATACTAAGTATATTCAGTAGTGTTTAAAAATACTGGTATATACTAAGTATATTCAGTAGTGTTTAAAAATACTGGTATATACTAAGTATATTCAGTAGTGTTTAAAAATACTGGTATATACTAAGTAGAGTGGTATAATATCATGTGCTGGTATCAATAAGTTTTATACATACATATAGAATCACAGGGAGCCCAGAAACTATAATCAACTGTACGCACTCCCTATGAGTGGGGGTGGGGGTGGTGGTGTATCGGCTGATATCTAGTGTAAAAAATAGACAAGAGATGAAGGCTCCAGCGAGCTCATATTTTTTAAACTGGAAATAACAGATGAACAGAATGAAAAATAAAATCTATAAAAAATACCAGGTTGAAGAATATTAGTTGCTCTTTCAAATTTCACCAAAGCCTTACCTATATTTTACCTACAACTGCAGAATAAATCAAGTAAGATACACAAAATATTTTTATTTCAGAATATTCGTCTAATAGATTACGAAAAAATGGTGGATAGTAAAGGAAAACGTCTAGTAGCGTTTGGTAAATTTGCTGGCATCTGTGGAATGATTAACATACTGCATGGTATTGGACTACGACTACTTGGACTTGGACACCATACTCCATTTATGGTATGCTAAGTATGCTATATAGTAATTTTATCTTTACAGTCAAAACAATGATTAGGTTTGTTTTAGAATATCTTTATTTTTAATGTTTACTGCAGTATGGCAGTGTATAGTTTTATTTCTAGGCCATCAGCAATAAATATCGTTTCTTTGCAACATGCTCACCATCTGAACAATGTTATGCCACAGGTTTTTATAACATTACCAGTAATCATTACAGGTTTTTATTTTGTTTTGTTTTGTTTTTTAAGTTCAACTGATTAAGACTAAGAAAGAAAAAGTAAATTTCAATGAGTGTTCCAAAAACTTCTTTTGAACCAATAAATTTGTTCAAGACAACTTTACAGCAACATTTGTTTGTCCTAATTGCTGCATTATTGGTAATTATAATATGATTTTCTAGCACATAGGTTCAGCACACAATTATCGTAATAGTGGCATGGCTAAACAAGCTGTCAGAGATGCTGGATATGAAATAGCTTTAGGGTTAATGCCTCAGTCTATTGGACCACTGACATTTGTGTTTACTGGCTCAGGCAATGTATCACAGGTAAGGATGAAATAGTTCATACATATTTCATATGTAATTTGGTTGAAATAGAAAACTGAGACCTAACCAAGTCATGAGTCTTTTCTATAGTCTTATAAAATGTGAAAAAAATTTGTGGAATTTCTTTGGTGTTCAGTTTAGCTGGTTAGGCCAATATCAAAACTATGACAGGTTGAGATGTATAAAGCATAGTCAATCAATCAGAGATCGTCTTACAATATATTATAAATGTCTATACCCGAATCCCATGATTGGTACTTTATTTAGTGCCAATATTAACAGATATTAATAAACTAAACTATGAATAAGTTTTGCTTAAAGTAAAGTAAATTTAAATTTTTAGAGATTGATATTTAGAATTATAGAAATCTAACAGCATCTGTTATACCACAGGAGATTACACTGCAGTTTTTAGTCCCCGTTCGGATGAAGTCCGAAAACAGGGACTTATAATTCGGTCTCCGTGCATCTGTGCGTTTGTCCGGAGTCATATCTCAGAATCCCTTGGACCGAATCTGTTCATTCTTTGCATGTGCCTAGTACCTTATGTGGGACATATGCACATGCAGTGGTTTAGCAATTCGATTCAAAATGGCCGACTGGCAGCCATCTAGTTTTTTGAAAATGTTGTATTTTAGACATGCTTTTTCACTTGTCATTAAAACTTGGTACATAGATTATACATGTTAGGATACATGTCCATTACGATTTATTTCGCAATTGGATCAAAGATGGTCGACTGGCAGATATCTGATTTTTTGGCCTTACTACTATAATATTTCCACAATTTATGTACCATTTTTATTGGGATTTGGGACATACATCATACATATCAGTGTGTTTCATAATCAGATCAAAGATGGCCGAATAACGACTGTTTTTATTTTTGGCCTTATTACTACTACACGAAACGCGTGTTTTGATGTAAATAAACAATCTGTTGTATACGCCACTTGGAACTCAAGTTTCAAGGACACGCTCCTGACAACCCCTTCGCTTTAGTATGACGAGCATAAAGAGAACTTTTAAAAATTTAACGGGGGCTGTGTCATTGTCAATGACTTGTTATATATATTTCTTGTCTTGATAACAGGGGGCACAGGAAGTATTCAAAGAGCTCCCTCATAGGTTTGTTAAGCCAGCTGATTTGGAATATGTTGCCAAGTATGGAGGTATGTCTCAATATTATATTCTCACTTTATTAGACCCTGTTCATATTAAGTTTGAAAGGGGAACTGTGTATGTGTGTGTGGCGCCTATGCATTCACACCTGTTTCCCAGATATGCGCGAACTAATTATGTACAAGCTTTACAAACACATATCTTGTCACACATACGTATAGAGTGCTCACTTCCCACATATTGATCAATTTCCGACAGCATAGTATTTTCTGACAACCACATTTTTTCTCACTCATTTATTGAAAACATTGACCACTTTTCCAAACACTGATCACTGGCACATGAGTGGTCCAAATAATGGTAAAGTTAGAAGTCTAAGTGTATTTCTGGAAAATTGGATGAAATTGAATTGTTAAATTCTGAAAGACGCTTCAAATCGTATTGATGCGTTGTATCATTAGTGAACACAACTTGAATTGTGATTACATATCCTGAAAAAAAAACAGAATATAGATAAAATTTTTACACGTGTATATAATATAAATAAAGGTGTCAAATTTATTTTTAGTCGTATAAGTAATTGGTGATCAATTGTAACAGTTGGAAAATCGTAATAATTCGCTCAAGACCTCTGCTACTGGAAATTACATCATTACTAGTCTGGTTTTTCAGTTTTGTATGTCTGTAGTCATTTCTGTGATAAGTTTTGGCCAATTTAGTTATGGAAACAAGGCCAAGTATCCATGGTAACATGAACTTAAAGTTATTTGGGTTTGTTCATTTTTGACTAAATGTTGGATACTGTAATTAAAAATTTCAGTTATTTTGTGAGTATACAGCACTCTCGATTCAGTTAAGTCTCTAAAATATGCATTTTAGCAAGAAAAAAAAACATTGATCTGTATTTGAAATAGCTCTAGACAGAAATTAAAAAAACTCTGTACTCTTGTTTCTTCCAAAAATTTATAAGTTTGTTGTTAGAATAATTTAGATGCAATCAAATATTCAAAATGACACGACTCAAAGATTTATCCATCTGCCAAGTTTATACTAAGAGAGATGCAAGAAGTTATCCAATCAAAGACAATGTTTGGGAAGTGTTTTGGTTTTGGTGATCTACCAAATTAAAACCGATTATCTAAAATATATGCAGGACAATCTTTCAGATAAATACGATACAGGATAGCTGTGGGTTGTATTCTTAATTCATCATACAGATTAAAGTTCAAATATTTTGCCCAAAGTACCAAACTGCTTTAGATTTGAGAGTCCAGTGTCCCATTGGATGAGGATCATATCAATTGTTAGTGAAATGTCATGTTTCATTCAGCTGAATCGTTTCTGTGGCAAAAAGTACAAGCTATGAGTGAACCATTTATCTTCAAATGGAGGAAACAGTTAATTGGTGTGTTCTTTCTTATAAACTGTTATACATATCTACTTTACATTGCAGATCATAAAACACTTTACGCTACAGTGATCAACATGCAGGATCACTTGTATAGAAAGACAACGGGTGGATTCTGTGAATCAGAGTTTGAAGAACACCCTGAAATTTATGCCTCAAACTTTAATACTAGGGTAGGTTGGCCATATTTGCTTTTGTGGTTTGTGAGTGAGTACAAGAAATAGTTATGTAGCTGGTAGTGATTTTGACCTCAAACAAGCACAAATTAAGACACTATGATTTTCTTCTTTGTAGCAATGTCAATGAAATTGTAGATGTAACTGGTAGCCAAAATACCAATGAAAGAAAGGGTTACCTGGCTAAGCATGTATACCTGTATTCCTTTATAATAGTGACACCATTTTATGTTAATGATTCAAAACAGGGACTTATAATTCGGTCTCCATCCGTCCATCTGTCCATCCATCTGGATTCATATTTCAGCAGTCTGTGGACCAAATCTGTTCATTCTTTGCTTGTGCCTAGTACTTTGTCTGGGACATATGCACATGCAGTGGTTTACAGATTCAATTTAAAATGTCTGACTGGCAGCCATTTTGTTTTTTGAAAATGTTGTATCTTGTGCATGCTTTGTCAGTTTTTGTACAAATTTGGTACATACATTATGCATGTTAGATTACACATGTACATGTCTATGAAGATTCGTTTCACAATCAGATCAAAGATGGCTGACTGGTGGCCATCTTGGTTTTTGGACCATTTTCATTCATATTTGTCACATATATTATACATATACATGTAGTAATACATGTTAGCATGAACCATGTGCATGAACCATGTGCAAATGTCTATTGTTAGTCGGTGACATTATAGTTTCAAATTGTGTGCCAAGAGAAATCAGATTGGCGATAAAATATGTGATATGAGGGTGGGATATCAAAAATATGACATGGCTTATTTAACAAACAACAGAATATGCTTACGATCTTTAACAATGAATGACTGTAACCTGTTTCTGTATCAGTGTAATTGTTCAGCTTCATTTCAGTTATAATCTCATGGCAAGGCTATACCTATGTTGTCATCTATAATGATTTGTTCACTACATATTTATTTAATTTGTCTATTTATATATCTTTAGTATGCACCTTGGACATCTTGTATAGTTAATGGAATATACTGGGCATCAAGTCATCCAAGACTTCTATCTAACGAAGACACTAATACTCTAATGAACCCACATTCTACCAAGACTGAGACCAGTGAAGGATGTCCGGCTTTACCGCATCGTTTACTTGCCATCTGTGATATCTCAGCTGATCTTGGTGGTTCTGTGGAATTTATTGTTGACTCAACATCTATAGAGTCACCATTCTGTTTTTATGATACAACTCATAAACATGAACATGTCAAAACAGTCAGGTACATATCAGTGATTTCTCTAAATTAACATTTTCTTTGTGAATTCAGTTATATATTCATCTCATGCATGTTTGAAGGAAGAATTATGTTTATGTTTTTTTCTGACTTGTTAGTTTTTCAGGTAGTGGAATTCTGGTTTGTTCCATTGATAACATGCCTGCACAACTACCAAGAGAAGCCACTGATTTCTTTGGTGGTTTACTTTTACCATATATAGAAGAAATGGTCAGTAGATTGTTTGTTTTTTAGTACTTTAATGTTAAGCTATCAATAACTGCATTTAAATTGTAACTGTTGTCTCATTCACATAGCAATAGTTATATATCAAGTGTTAGTCGTGCTTCCACAATCCTAAAAACATTTAAAGAAGCAATGGTAGAGACATTTACTCTGTAATTTTCTCGCTAGGCTATGATGGATGCCAATGTTCCAACTTCAAAAGAGACATTTTTATCACCAGTAGTGAGAGATGTAAGTATGAGAGATTAATTTACATTTATTGGCAGTGGTTTATTGTCAGGAACATTATTAGTACTCACACAGGTGACACAAGATTACAAATACAATTCACATCAATGACACAAGATATACATTCATCATTGATATCAATTAATTTAGCTGTGGCTTA